TAATTTTTTTTAAATGAAGTGTGATTTCGAATATTTCGAATATAAGCCGCACCCCAGTTTTCCTCTTGAATTTTTGGCAAAAAATGTGCGGCCTATACATGCGTAAATACGGTATACGTAATGTTAATTCTTATGTGCTCTTTACGGAAAACGAATGCATAATGCTTAAATAGCCTTTGGCTATATGTATGTACTGATCGGTTATTATACATCTGTTGAATAAGATTTTTTTAAATGTAAATTTATTTGTTATTTAGTAAATATGAAACTCTGCTGTGTTTCAGAACAGAGCAGCAGGAAAGCAAATGAAATGGCTGTAGTTCCCTTGCGTTGCTGATAAATAATGCATCGCTGCGAAGTAATTTATATTTCCTGATATAGATATTTTCGCTTGTTTAAGTATTCAGTAAAAGTTAATTATTATTATTAGTATTATTATTAGAGGGGGTGGGTTTCCCCATGCACCGCGACCAGTTTGATCTATTGTACGTCCCCCTGTGATATTCTACCAGTCTCTATATCCTACCGGTTCTGGTGCGTGCCATCAGTCCAGACTCAGCCAGCGAGTTCGGCCTCTACTGGCTCAGCGGTATCTAGATGCTTCCCCCATCTACCAGAGGCGTTAGAGACTATTGTTGGGCGGGAAATGTCCTTACAAATTTGGCTCGGAGGTAAAAGTTAATAATCTCCCTGTGCTTAATTAAATGGGCACCACGCCATGAAGATATGTTGGGAGAGTGGAGGTATAGCTCCATCGTTGTTAACCTCGGCACTAGACGGAAAGTGAATGGTTAATTTCACTCCCCTGCCTCTTTACATCCGAGGAAGGAGCTTGAGGTATCCATTGGATAGGAGGATGTATGGGTCCTAGAGCCGGTCTGCACTCTATGGAAGGGACAGAAATCTCTTTACCTTGCCGGGAATCGAATCCTGGTCACAGGTCGTAGCACAGTTTCTATACAGACTGACCTACCCTCTCGGTGAATGAGGAAGTTTCATGTATTTTGTTGTAAGTGAATGTTAGAAGTGCCGACCTAGTGCACGTTCTTATTCTGTAGAGTCCAGTGCTTCAGTACAAGTGTAGCTACCGAGGAAATTGATTCCCATTTATGTTCGAGAGGAGCTCGGTTCGAATCCTTGCCGGTATCCAGACAATCCTGGTAGTCCCTCCAGGCAAACAGTCAGTACAGCCACTTATTTCCGCATGACTTCCAATTTATTATCCACTATCATTCGACTCTGAGTAATCTGGATCAACGAGAGAGTTGTTAAATACACTATATATAAACAAACCCAGCCATTTTTCCGCAATGTTTCTCGATTTATTGAGGTTATTTTTGTGGGCAGTTTCGCTGAAATTTCAACGAGTTTTGTGGCAGTATATTATACAACACTGGTTCAGCTTTAATCTCCTTCGCTGTTTTTCTTTTCTCCTCTTGCTCCCACTTTGGAGCATAGGGCTGATTTGTCAGTTTCATGGTCATTTTTACAGATGGCAGTCCCCCTTAGACGGGTGATCAGCTCGTCGCAAGACCTCTACCTAAACATAGGACAACATGAACACAAAATAAACGCATACACACACTAAACATCCATGCCTCGTGTGGGATTCGAACCCACGATCCCGGCTTCCGAGCGAGCACAGTACATGTCTTACACCGCTCGGCTACAGTGACCAGCCTCTTTCGCTATAACGTAGTTTATTTATTAGTGATGAACATTTATTACGAAACATTTGGTTGAAATTTCAACGGGATTTTTACTAGTAAATTATAAAACATTGCTTCACTTTTACTTCGAATTGTTGTAATGAAATTTGTTTGTTAAGATCTAAAAGTTCGTGACGATGTCATGTTAATAAAATGATTGACTTTTTGGAAATTATCCAGAGACCCGTTTATTTTTATTTAAAAGTACTTTTCGGAGACTGGATTGAAGCTGGAAGCATAGTCCAGACGATGGATAATGTCCATATAGTCAGTAAATTGAAGTTATTTATTGTTGATGAAAATCTTTTTAGAGTTGTCCTTTGAAATTTCAGCAGAGTTTGCGCTCTTCAAGAATCACCGTATCAAACGCACGTTCCCATCGCTGAAATGTAGGCCTACTGCTTTCTGCTTTGTGAGCTTGTCCATTCACTTCTTTTGCCTCATTACCTACTGCCGCCTCCTCCATGTGGCCTTAAGTCCATTCACCTTCCGCACTGGCAAGTCACGCAACGGTGATAATATTTGCGCGAGGTCAATGTCTGGAACGAAACAGCTTCAGTACCGATATTTAAATAAAACCCCTTTATTCCAAAAGCGGCATAACCCTTATAGGCTTCAACATTTGTCATTTCCTGTCTTTATTAACACTTTGGTACAAAGTCGTTACCATATATAGGCTCTACAAAACTTTCATATTAAAATACTTTATATTTTGCTCACGGACTATGTTTGTTTGTAGTATAAAGAGTGATTATTTCTTTAAATAGCATTAACCGATTGGTCTGTGTAATGATGCGAAGTTTTCTGTGCCTTGGTAATTGAAGTTTAAATATTTATATGAATTTTAGGTTTCAAATTATTAAAGGATGCCTATGTATGGGATAGACGAGGAATTCAAGCAAAATTACGTGAAGAGTAGACAACATTGGAGAGAGATAGGCATGGATATGAGAACTCAAACATCGTTAATGAGATAAGGAATTCGCTGGAGGAAGTAGTGTATTAACTTGTAAGGAAATAGAAACTTAAAACAATGCTGCTGAACATTATCTTTATCATGTGCCGCTTTCTCCAGGCAAAACAATATGTGTCACTGAATCAGGTGTACGAGGTGCTATCGGAAAGTTCCCGGACTGGGTAAAAAAAAGAAATGCTGGCTTAACTTACTGACTTTTGGCTGCCATTTCCTTCAAAATAGTCTTTTTGGGAACGTACGTATAAAGATCCTATCCTTCTTTTTTCCACGCTTCGAAAGCACCGTGGAAGCCATTTTCCTTGATGCTGTCGAGTGCCGCTTGCGGTTCCCTTTGGATGTCAGACACTGTTTTAAAACGTCGTCCCTTCAATTTCATTCTCAATTTTAGAAACAAAGCGGAATCCTAGGGGACTAAGTCGGGCGAGTAGGGAGGATGGGGAATGATAACCATGTTGTTGTTAGTCACAAACTGTGTGGTTTTCAGGGACGTGTAGGCGGGCGTGTTGTCTTCATGATGGAGCCAGTTGTGGTTGCCAGACTACACGGGGTCACACATCAGAAGACAGGAATTTTGAAATTAAGAAATTGTTTCTCTCAAACAAATTTTACTTTATGCAGAATTATATTAAAGTTGAGTGATTCACATAATATTGTCACGTGTATTAGTGATTATAAGCGGCGTTTGGATTGATGAATAATTTTTTTAACACCTTATACAATCATCTCGTATTTAACAATCAATACAGCAATATCGCTGATTTACACAATTTTCAGTTCACCGTTAGACACGCACTAGGATTCTAAGTCTTCAGTAGTCATAATAGTCATATCCTGGTAACGGAATTAAAACAGTCTCATTGTGAATAAATCTTCTAATCACACACTAAATTTTCACAGGCTGACTTGTAAAGTCTTCTTTAACTGCTATCTTCCCGTGGCAATCTCCTACCGACAACTCAATTCTCATTCTGTTGTGCTCCGTTGTACGCCGTTGTATTCCCATTCCCTTGACTCTGTCTATCGTTCGTACTGGCTCCCTTATACTGTACGAGTATATTCGCGGGACGGAACACACAGAACAGAAAACGCGTCACTTTTCAGAATGCATGTCAAGTGGCCCGCTGCTCAGCACTGGGCATGGCGCGGACCACATAGAAAACACCTCTTCTGTTGTCCCCTACAACTACTCGGCACAGACCACAGCAGAAAATACAGCCTCTCTATTGCTGACCGTGTGTGTGTTGCAGACGTTGCCTAGCAATGGGTCTATGCGTCACGATAGCATGTAATAATTCCTGAACTATTGAAATATACTACACATACATACAAAGAAGACTGGGATAATCATTAATATGAACAGAAGCAACATAACTTCTCAGAATTAAAACTTGTGGAAATAAAATATTCCAGTTAGTTAGCAAGCATATTTTTCTTTTGCCTGGAAAACAGATCCATTCCTGAAAGAGTAAAGCATTAGCCTGTGCCTGGTAGAGGCTACAGACTACTGCTTAAACATGGACGCTGCTAGAGATAGTCACCAATCTGACGACTACTTAAGTCCCTAACTTAAAATATCAACATTCTGATTTAACGTACAGTTTCATGGGCAACTTTACACTATTAGTACAGGAGTTGACATATATATATTTAAACTACATTTTGCATTTCTCATTACTTATGGGCAGGACGGAGAGATCACTTATTCACTCCGTTTGTGGTGACAGTTCAAGATTTGAACTGATGTCTGCGTCATATGACGTGTCATGACGTGTGAATAATTGGGGGCAACAAGGCGGTGCTTTGGACTGGAACCTTTTCACATCTGCACAAATCTTGTTCTCTTCCTTTTTTATGCTTGTGGCCTTTGATTCATCAGTTTGCACATGCTTTCTGTACAATATGTGTCCCAGTGGCATCTACCGAGAGAAACAAATAAGAACTTAAATTAATGGATATATAACAGAAACACAATTGAAATGCTCTTTACGATTTCTATGACAAAAGCGACTGGAAACATATATCGGACAATGGGTAAACACAAAATAAGGGGCACGTCTGTTTACATATTTCAAATCCAAAACTGCTTGAATAAATTCAAAGAAAGTTTCCAGACTAATTTTATTTTTACCCACAAGAGTTGTTAAATTGTACAACGTAGTGAACTCAGAATTTCAGCCTACTTTCCTTATTAAAAAAATTAAAACAGGATTATGATATCACCTTGCTATCTGTGTGTCTATATGTATATCCCCCTTATAAAACTTTTGAAAGCCTGAACCGATCTTTACGAATTTTTTTTACGCATAACATACCACCAGAGACCATCTCAGCGAAATTAANAATTCATAAATTTCTCCCGTCAGTAATACCAATATTGAAGCCTCTCAAATTGTTGCGGTAATGCCAGAATCGATTGTCATAAAACGTCATATGTGTATCATGCCACTTGAAGCCACTTCAACGGCATACTGAATCCCTTCCCTCAAACAAACAAAACAAGAAAAACAAACTCCGTCGCCTGTAGTCCACAAGCGAACTATACCGACCTTGCGACCCCCGCTTCTCGGCGAAGTTAGTGCCAGTTTTAGCGTATACAGCGTGTCGCGTGGTCAGCGCAACGGATCCCCACGGCCGTTAATCTCGGTTTTATAGACCGGAGCCGCTACTTCCTTAAAATAGCTAATCAGTTATCCTCACGAGGCTGAGTGGACCCCGTTCCAGACCCAGTACTTCTCATAAAATCTGGTAGCGCCGAGAATCGGATCTAGGACCTCTGGATCTTTAGCCAGGAACTCTGACCACTAGTCCACAGAGGCCTCAGTAATACCAACACCGAAGCTCCTCAAATTGTTGACTCGAATGCCTGAACCGATCGTCAAGGAACTTGGTATGAAAATCATGAAGCACTTTCAACAGCGTCTCAGCGTTACTTCGGTAATACCAGCTTCATCACGCATACAAATTACTTTATTTTCTGCTTGTCATATGAATTACAGAAATTGCAGTGAACGGAAATTGGTTTATTAATCCTTACCAGAACTTATTATTTATATTTCGTTAACTCCGAATATATATATATATATACGTAAAGTTTTCCTTGCGTTTAATTAAGCACCAGGCCAGGAAAACGTATGGGATAGTGGATGTATAGCCCCACCATTCTTAACCTAGGCACTATATGGAGGTGAGTGGCTAGCTTCATGCCATGCCTCCTGGCCCCCGGGGAAAGAACACTATGTACCAACTGGACAGGAAGCTGGGTGGGCCCCAGGAGTTGAACCCCGGCCGTTCAGCCCGAAGCCAGATGCTGTACAGGCACTTTGTCTTGCAGCTTCACAATTTAACACACAATTTATGTGAACGTTATTTTGTTTTAGTGACATTTAAATACGTTTTTAAAAGTATAAGACCAGATATTCATTCATCAGACTTTGCACAGACAAAATAGAGACTTAGAGTTGAGGGGTAATTCAGGTATTTCAGGCGAGAGACAGAAAATAATGAATTTTACTCAGTGCTCTCATATGACAAGAACAAAATGGTGAGAAAGTGGTGTAAGGCTGTCTAGTTGAAGTTGATATTCCGCAACATCGCAGGCTCATAGCTCTGGCGCTCTCAGCTTTATAAAACCTTTGCTGTAGTACTGGTTGTCTCTGAAGATGGTCAGTTGAGGTCGAAGTCTGTTGGTCTGTAAGATCATGTAAAAACTAAACAAGAAGTTCTGGGAAGAACTAATTGCTTTCTCTCCCCCGATAGCACACGAACTGTATATAAAACAAAAAAATTGGATGAGGGGGCTACACATGCACACAGAGAGTAAAGTGAGGTTATATGCCTCGTTTAAGAAAATAGGCTAAAAAGTTCTTATGCTTGATGGCAATTTTGTGTTTAATATTATCCACTGATATTTGGTTAGGTTTCTGAGTTGTTAGTCATTTTGCAACAGGTTTCCCGACTAATATTCCATTTCTTACTTTTAATGCTCTTGTCTGTGCGCGAATTTGTTCATCCTCTAGCTATTCGCTCTCTCTCACACATTCAAATATTGTCGTGGCCACTTCATTCTCAAATACACTCTTTCCTTAACAAGACTTTACACTGATAAAAGGCAACAGGAATCTCTTTCTCAAATTTCATACTTGCCTCTGATATTTTTTCCCTGAGTTCCAGAACAGGCGGAATGTCTGTTCCAGTCCAGGCGTCGCGACGCCTCCGCCGACCCCTCAGAGCGACCGTCAGGTTGCCACAGACAGCCAGCCCTGAGGTGAGCGTACTTGGGGGGTCGCAGCTTGGATACGCCTCACGGATCCGACAGAAATCGTCGTCCCCTGGCCACAGGACATGCGTTCTTATTACTATGTGACATCCAGTGCGACGCAACGGCCGGGTTCAGTTCCCGGCAGAAGGAAGAGACTTTCTGTACTCCACAGAGGCCAGACTGTCTGTGGGGCAAATCCAGCTTCCTATCCAGTAGGTACAAAGGGTTCTCTCTCTGGGGATAAAGCGGCCGGGGAGTGAAGCTGGCCACTCACTTCCATCTAGTGCCGAGGTCGAGAATTATGGAGCTATACCTCCAATCCCCCATATGTCTTCATGGCATAATACTCAATTAAGCACAGAGACAAATTTGCCTTTTCCTTATATTTACTAAGTTTGCATGAAACAAAATCGAACCTGTGGATGTAGCAGCTGAGGACGGTCTGTATTTCCTTAGCAGTCCGTGCCTTTCTTTCGATGAAGCATCGGTGATACCAGCAGCAGTAGTCGGTCGCTTCTTAAAATCAGCTCGCCGAGTCATTTTCTGATCGCAACAACATACGAAGTCTACATCAGAACACATTTCCAATCTATGAAATTGATGTTTTTTCTGAGGTTCACAGCAGGTTCAGAATTCTGTATTCGGTGACAGTGTTGGACAATAATATCGTTTGCACTTAAATAAACTATATCTATCTATCTATGGCTCTACAGTCGTGTGTTGGGCCTTGGCCGATTTTTCAGTTTCTTGAGCCTATACACAGCCGGTAGAACTCCTTGGACGGGGTATCAGTCCGTCCCAAGGGCGCAACCTGCACACACAGGACAGAACAAACACAGAACTAGCGCACATAGACATCCGTGCCTCAAGTGGGATTCGAACTCACGATCCCATTGTTGGAGCAGGCGAAGACAGTTCATTCCTTAGACCGTGTGGCCACTGTGATCGGCGAAATAAACTATATAAATACAAAATACAACTTAAAATGGAGTAACAATTTTTCAATTTACCTAATCCTTCCAGCCACACTACGGCCCTTGGGTCGACTCAGCCTCTATCAGAAATTACCAGGAATATTCTTGGAATATTCCTGGGGGTAAAGGGCTGCCGACGCGTAGGGCTGACAACCTTAACGCCATCTATGAGTAGATTGTCTAGAAAATGTGGGAACCTCAACATCTCACAACCCTATGTGCCTCCACGGCCTGTTACCGGGATAGCTTTACTTTACTTAACCATACCTTTTAAAAGTAAATTTTACCTAGACAAAACTCCTATAATAATATTAATCAATATTATTACAATAGAGGAGGCTTAATCAATGAGAATGAGGTTTACGGTAGATCTCAAGATATTAATAAACTGGTTAATTATTTTGTTACTTAATTTTCTGTTTGATAGTTGTATTTTATTTTGTTCACGAGGAAAACATCCATGGAGTGCGGAGCTCACTGACCTGCCTAAGCTGGAGCCCTGTGCTGTCAGAACCAGCGCTTTGTGCAGGGCAAACATCTATATGGGTTTGGTGACCCGAACTCGAGTAATTAGGGGAATCCACCTCATTACTCGTGTTCGAGCTATCGAGGGCTCCCTCTTCGTTACCATGATCACGTTCGTTTTGGTTCGGGCTTTGGTAGCCGCTGCCCCCCGAGCCGCCATCTTGTCCACGGCTCGTACCATGATGCTGGGAAGTGTCAGGACCTCCATGAGAGATTAGTCTCACGGAATCCTGACACGGACGAAATGTGGCGCCATTTTCATCATCTTCATCATCTTCATCATCACTATTTTCGAAGTTATGCTCCCCACCTATCAATAAATAAAAAAAGAATGTAAAAGTTTACAGTTTACAATTAACAGGCGTGTTCAACAGAAGGAATTATAAATAACATGCTACGTAAATAACTAGCAGAAGTCCATCATGAGTAAGTAGTTTCGTAGCAGTGGAGCTTCATAACTTGTTCTCTTCTCCGAGTATAATTAGAATGATCAAGTAGAGAAGAATGAGGTGGGCATGGCATGTAGCACGAATGGTGGAGAAAATGAATGCATATGGGATATTGGTGGGAAAGCCAGAAGGAAAGAGACCACTGGGAAGACCAAGGTGTAGGTGGGTGGGCAATATTGAAATGGATCTTAGAGTGATAGGATGGGATGGGATGGATTGGATTGATCTGGATCGGGATAGGGACCAGTGGAGGGCTCATGTGAACACGGTAATGAACCTTTGGGTTCCATAAAATGCTGGGAAATTCTTGAGTAGCTGCAGATTTGGCTTCTCCTCAAGAAGTGCTCAGCTCCATAAGTAAGTAAGTTAAGGGCACACCTCGCACACCTCCACGCATTTCACTTAATTACACACACACACACACAATAACAAAATCAGTCCTAGGCTTCTCGAAGGCAAGAGGGGCCGAGCCACCAGCACCACCGTATCTACATTCTTGTATTAAATTCAGAATTCAAAACTACGTCTGAGAAGTCACGTGAGCTTGGCGGGGAGAAATAAAGAAAGGAGGGGGAGGAGGAAGAATGAAATGAAGAAGACAACAAGGCAGAGGAATTGGGGAAGAGGGACAATGCATTTGTTTCACTTGTGAAGTGTAAATCGTTAGCTTTATCTCATTGGTCTGGAGGGCCACGTGACGCATCTTTCCTTCGTCTCTGGCCCAGTTATATCGTCATGTGCAAGATGGCCCAAAAGTCAGTTAATTGCTTAATAAAATGAACACTAAAGACGTTAGAAATTTCTTCAATATTTTTTGAATTTATAGAAATTGTTCAAAATGATATCCTTATGTTCAGTGGACAACTCACAACGCTGTGATACCGTTCTACAAACAGACTGGCAGGTTTAAACCTGAACATTCCCGTTAATACCAGAGAACTTTTAAGGTTAACTAACTTTCGGTGCACTCTACATGTTGTGTCTGGTACATATGAAGCTACTTTGGCATCATATCCTCTATATAGTTTATGCAGAGTTGTGTAAATAATTACTACGCCACTAAATTCTACTGTCAACTGAAAAAAAACTAATTTGTATTCACTTTTTTACCTGATTTCTAATCAAATACTGTTTCAATAGTAACACACAAGACACAGAAGGAAACAGGTTTAAATAACGGTGAAAGTTGCTTTGGTGTCTGTGTTGAAGGAGTGCATGGGATTTGTATGCAAATCTTTGTGTATTCTTGACCTCGACTGGTTCTCATGGCCTTGATAAATTAGGACCTCTGAGAACACATTGCATAGAAGGCTAAGTGGGCCGCAGAGACTTTCGGTAATAACGCGAAAACTTCTAACTTTGCTACGTTTGCATTTATGTACAATAAGAGGTAATGATTTCCTGTTTGAGACATTTTGCAGCGGTGAGTATGAAAAATACTGTGTTCTCAGATGTGACGCAATTTGTATAGAAATTAGGAACACTTTGGGAGAACCTCTTCATCGTAAATGGAGGTAGGAGGTTCCTCTATAACTCTGATAACTGTCAGAATATATAACGTCATATCCCAGACGACAGCAACCATCAGGAAGTGAAGACATCTATGTGACTATCACCACGCGATGAAAAGGTTTAGGGGCACGGGCAACATGTATGCTTAACCTCGTCACTAGGTGTAGATAAGAAATGTTCTCTTTGGGTTCAGGTGCGTATTCACGCATCGGCATTCTTAAAAATTGTGATGAATAGGAAGGCTATGAATAACGCTATATTGTGGGATATAAAGCCGTGTAGTCTGGTAGAATATTACCAACGTTTCGGAGTGATCTACTGCGTTCATTTTCACAGCACAACATAAAATAACATCCCAGAACAAAGTGATCTTCATTGTCAAGGCTGTGAGCTATACCTTCACTCTCGATATGCCTTCATGACAGTGCTAAATAGCATAATTAAGTAGAGGGATAACTTTACCTTTATAAATCTTATAGCTATTAAAATTAAAGAAAAAAAAACAAATGAACTCCATGGTCTTAGTCAGCAAGCAAACTATACCGACCGAGCGACCGCCGCTTGTCGGCGAAGTTAGTGCCAACTTTAGCGGACAGAGGGTGTCGCGTGGTCAGCACAATGTTTCCCCACGGCCTTTAATTTCGGTTTTCTAGACCCGAGCCGCTATTTTCTTGAAACTCAATTACCCTCACGAGGCTGAGTGGACCTCGTTTCAGACCCACTATTTCTCAGAAAATCTGGTAGCACCGGGAATCGAACCCGGACCTCTGGATCTGTAGCCAGGAACTCTGACCATTAGACCAAAGAGGCGGTCTCTTATAGCTGTTAGAAATTCTATTATGCTATACAATATCAATACATTCTTTTAAAGATGTTTTCATCTTATCAGCCATTATTAATGACATACAAGAGTAAACCACAAAATTTAAAGAAATATCGAAATTTTATACGAGATGCACACATGGTGGATGGTAAGGCAAAGTGACTGGACGAATTGGGTTCGTTCCTGTTTCAGTACGCACATGTTCACTTTTGTTCGGAACGGAATTCGCGTTCAGATGAAAGGCAACCCAATGCGTTTGGTTGTAAAGGTTTGCATGAGAACCTTCGTAAAGCTAGGACTGTCTGTACTCTTATTTATCTGATCAAAGTATACATATTACGTAATGTCCTATTGCAGTGTCTAGCTAAGTGTGGTCGCCTTCTATATCTAAGAAAAGAGCCTTCTGTAACATCTATGTGGGCCATGAAATGAAGATGTATGACTTTGCCGCTAGTCTAACCATGGCTTATCAGACCGCAGTCCTATTTACACGCTCCCGCATGCCGCCGTTTCACGCATTTGTCAGCGATAATATCTAATTTCCATACAACTAGCAACCTTAAGATCTTATCGACTGTCCTATTGTTGGCTATAGCGGGCGAGTGTGAGAGCACAACGTATTGGAATAAAGTGAATTTAATGGCTCGGTCTAGAATGAAAGGAACTTCACCCCTGTGGTTAGGTGACTTATTCGTCAACACAAGATGGTATTAAAATTAAAATCAATATCACATAAAATTTATTGTTTACCGCTACACATTTCGGTCCCCATGGGACCATCATCAGGCACTGTATATAATAAATACAATAAAGTTAACTGAAATCTCAATATGGATCCATATTGTGGTGCAACGCGTCCCTATTATAACAATTGTAAAAGTTGTAGAAAATTGTGCCTTGCGTTATGATGAAAATTAAAATATAAAATTTAGAAATATTAGAGTATACAAGAATTTGTATTTATAAATATTAGTGGAGGTAATTAAAAGGTGTTCTATATTACGAATATAAGATAAGGAGCTACTTATTACAAGAGTAAAATAACTAAAATGTTGAGGGTATTAAAAATACTAAAAATGCTAAAACAATGTTATAAAATTATGGAGATATGAAGTTAATTTCTCATATGCAGTTGAAGGTTCCTTTGAGTGGTAAATCAATTGAATCCACGTTGTTTTTAGCCTTTCATGATGTGTTTAGTTGAATGTATTATGGACCTGGGGGCTGCTTCAGTATGTTAATTTTCTATGCTAGATAACCTCTTGGTTATTAGTTCTGATGTACTGTTTACTACCTCAATATGTAGGTGCGTTCTGTTTGTATGTATCTTGGCTTTTACCTCCTTCTATCCTGATCGCTTTATCTGGCATCAGTTACAAACAGAGTCTGTAGTTCGGTGTTCAAATTTAAACTTTTCCTTCCATGATTTAAGTTTTATAAAATCGGAGGATGTTACTAGGATTCTACCAGTGCCATAAACTTACCGTCCTCAGTAACAGGAATTCCGTCCAGGGTGATAAGGTTGGGCAGGAGGTGGCGGATCGTTGCCCGATATCCTGATTTCGAGGATGCAGGACATTCCGCTAATGTCAACTCCTCTAGATGAGAACATATGTTGAGGAATTCCAAGAAGCTTAGATCTTCTACAGCATTCCTACGTGCAAACAAGATACTAACAACAGAAACCGAACGTTTTCTTTCACATCGCACTAGAACTTATTTCCAAAAAACTTGTCCAAAGTGCTATAGACTTTGGAGGAACACAATGTGTATACTCCAGCAGGTACATAAGGATATATTTGCTTTGTACAACTATTTTTTATTGCTAGTGAGGTCGGACTAGGTCCCTTGTGTTGCGGCCACTTCTATCCTATTGTACCAGCCCCAGATGATAGGTGAGGGTGATTGTGGAGCAATTGGAGGAATGAAGATTGGCAGGGGAAACCGAAGCACTCGGAGAAAACCTGCCCCAGCGCCACTTTGTCCACCACAAATCCCATTTGACCAGTACAACTAACTAACTAACTAACTAACTAACTGATTCTTTAAAGGTTTCACTCCGTGCTTTCAGTCCGCAAGCGAACCATACCGACCGAGCGACCGTCGCTTGTCGGCGAAGTTTAGTGCCAACTTTTGCGGATAGAGGGTGTCGCGTGGTCAGCGCGACGAATCCCCACGACCGTTAATTTCGGTTTTCTAGACCGGAGCCGCTATTTCCTTGAAATATCTCCAAAATTATCATCAAAAGGCTGAGTGGACCCCGATCAAGACCCACTACTTCTCCGAAAAATCTAGTAGCGCCGGGAATCAAACTCAGACCTCTGGATTTGTAGCCAGAAACGCTGACCACTAGACCACAGAGGCGGCCTTCGCTTTCTCCATTATCGGGATAAAAGAGTAAGAAGAAGTATAAAACCTGAAAATGCAAAAGCAGGATTTCTCCGAAACCTTGGCGCCTGCGTACGAAACTACAGAATGCAACATCCATGAATGCTGTAATCTTAGTATTTTAATTAATAAAGCCATTCTTCTTTTGCTTATCATATATTTTCTGTTTGGTACAAGTACTGACCATAGACGGATCGACTTACACGTACGTAAAAAAATAAAAAAATAAAAAGAGACTTATGGGATCACCTTGTCATCTGTCTCTGTCTATCGCCCTATTTTTTTTAGGCTTATGAGATCACTTTATTCTCATCTACACTCAGTCTACGTTCTTCTTTTAGTGTCAGAGACCACGTGACCACGTTTCATACCCACACAAAACTACAGGCAAAATCAGTCTTGTATATTTTCATTTTTACGTTTTTGAGACAGCAGACGAGAAGGCGAAAAGATCTGAAATAAATAGTAGCAAGCGTTACCCGAATCTAATCTGCTCTTAAGTTCTCCGTGAATAAAATAAAACATTTCTGACATATCTTAATTCAGAGCTCTTACTTGCCGAGGTCAATAATTCGGATGTGTGGGAGTGAAGAACAGGGTCCGACGTCGGCCACCATGTTGTTGCTGGCGTGCAACTCACGGAGACTTGTGAGGCCGAATGTACCGTCCAGTGAGTCCAAGCCACACTTCGTCACTTTAAGTACGTTCAGAGATGTGAGGCCATAGCCCAAGTCTCTGGAACAGGCAAAACAGTAATGGAATTAAAGTGTCTTTTCTAGAAAGGATAAACATCCAAAGCGCAAAAATGTTTTCTTTCTGTTAGCAAGTAATAATTCAGTAAAGTAAATTTGCCCCTGTGTTTAATTACTTAGCTACCACGCCATGAAGACATATGGGGAGTGGAGGTATAGCTCCACCATTCTTGTGCTCGACAGTGGGCGGAAATGAATAGTCAAGTTTACTCCCCAGCAGGCCGATCTCCAGTACCCACTGGATACGGGGCTCGGTGGGCCCCAGAGCCGGTCTGGACGTTGTGCAGTGGAGAAAAATGTTTGCCCTGCCGGTAATCACACCTCAGAGGTTCACATAACCCGTCACTATACCTGCTTGGCTATCTGGGCTCCAAAAGAATTGCAGTACTTCATTTAACAAAGAAAATGAATCTACTGAAGAAAAGAACACGGATTTGGAAGAGATGTGAAATTTTGCTTATTTTCACATGTTGTATGTTCTTACTACTTCAGCAACCGCAAACCACAGTTCTTTTATGTAGATATCATTATCGTATTTATGTCATGACAAAGAAATGCATTCTCTTTACGATTGCCTGACTAGGCCATCTGAGAGGAATATTTTAAAACATATTATTTCATTTTAACAATCTGTTCCAGCACAATATATTTTAAATTCGTAACATTAGGCACAAGCTGTTTAAAAATACATCCAGTCAACGTCTTTTACGCTTTCAAATTAGAACCCAGCTTTAAAAATAAATCGTATATTCATAAGTAAGTTTCAAATAAAACTAGGTTATAACCCAGTTCAAAATAAGACCACAAAGTAGCAGACGTCACTACCAAAGGAGTTCTTGGTAGTTTATCAAACTTAAAATAAAAATGCAAATAAGCTACATTTTCCCATATCAAATTTCAGCAGTCTGTCGAAGGCTTTACGGCCTCTCTCTCTCGTTCATGGAGCTGAGCGCTTCTTGGGAAGCTGCCACTTGTGCAGCTACTGAAGAACTTCCCAGAATTTTATGGAATCTGAAGGTTCATTACCGTGTTCACAAGAGCTCTCCACTGGTCCCTATCCTCATCCAGACCAATCCAATCCATACCATTTCATCCTATGTCTCTAAGATCCATTTTAATATTGTCCGCCCACCTACGTCTTGGTCTTTCCAGTGACCTATTTCGTTCTGGCTTTTCCACCAATATCTTATATGCGTAGTGCCTCAACCAACTACGCTACCGCGTGCCCCCGGTCACAACTTTACCGCCATCTGTGAGCCCATTGTCTAGAAAGTGTGGGAAACTCGGCCTCTCACATTCCTATGGGCCTCCACGGCCTCTTACATCGGTAGCTTTTCTTTCTTTTTACTGCCCATCCGTTTACGTCCTCATACTACGTCAGTGAAAGGGAGGCGATCAGATATAAGGCCAACACCTAAGGCGTTATTTTGTAGACATCACCTTGTATGATAGAGTAGGACTAGATACTGGAGTCCTGACTGGCCCGTCAAGATCTCTCTCTGTCTCCTGGAATGTGTCGGTATATAACGCATTGAAGAGTGAGCCGAGGAAGAAATTAGCTTGCAGAAGGCTTGAAGAAGATGAGGCGATATGTTTATCCGTAAAGTCGGTTGACTCTAGCAGACCACAAGGCGTTATATTTCAATAGAAAGAACTCTTCTTAACCACCGCCGTGTGAACCTCAGAACTTAAAAAAAAAAAAACAACTCCGTGACCCATAGTCCGCAAGCGAACTATACCGACCGAGCGACCGCCACTTGTCGGCGAAGTCAGTGTCAACTTTTGAGGATAGAGAGTATCGTCAGAGCAACGGATCCCCCACGGCCGTTAATGTCGTTTTTCTAGACCGGTGTCACTATTTAATTGAAATAGCTTTTCAATTATCCTCACGAGGCTGAGTGGACCCCGTTCCAGGCCCACTACTTCTCGGGAAATCTGGTAGCGCCGGGTATCGAATCCGGGACCTCTGGATCTGTAGCCAGGAACTCTGACCACAAGACCACAGAGGCGCTCCCTCAGAACTTACAATAAATTATTTGGCAAGAATATGCCTGGGCAAGTTACCAAGCCTAAATGATTCATCTTAAAGAAAGAGGTCAACAAATTATTCAGTGGCTTAATCCTCCGTTTATTTTGCCCTGTTTATGGACAAGCTGAATTATATTGGCGGAGCGGTAAACGTAGAGGTTAAATTTGTCCCTGTGCTCAATTAATTAAGAACAAGGCCATGAAGACTTCTGCCGCTGGTATCACTGATGTGTCATCGAATGAACGGCGCGAACTTCCGAGGAAATACAGACCGTCCTCAGCTGCTACATCCACTGGTTCGATTTGTTTCATGCAAACTTAGCAAATGTAACGAAAAGGTAAATTTGTCTCTGTGCTTAATTGAGTATCATGCCATGAACATATATGGAAGATTGGAGTTACAGCTCCACTATTACTGGCCTCGGCACTAAGTAGTGGTAAGTGGTCAGCTTCACGCTCCGGGCACTTTACACCAGGGGAAAATTCCCTATATCCATTGGATAGGAGGATGGGTACGCCGCAAAGCCGATCTGGAGGCTGTGGAGTAGAGAAAAAATTCTTGCTCCTGCCTAGAATCAAACCCCGGCCATTCAGCATAACTTCTTACTATCCCGGAAGTAGTATGTTCTGTTGGGTACCTGAGTGATCCCAAGCAGCTGCCTTCGAGGTTCAGTTCTCTGAGGTTAGGGACAAAGACAGCGAGCCTCTGGAGACTCGTCTCTCTGGAAATGATGCGCAGCTTAATGGCTCGGACAGACTCCAGGTCAGCATTTCCCGAAACTTGTCTCTGCAACAGCATCGTAACAAAAGTCTTAGCCTGTATACAAGGCGAGGTCTCTTTCCAGATAGTGCTCCTTGAATATGAAGAAGCTTGTTATGAGGACTTCTAATTTCCCCTGTTGAATTAACATAATAAAACCGGATTTCTTTGTCATATCCAACATTTCACACTAGTTAGAACACGTGAACCCTCCGCCCAGCTCCTTACGTTGCAAACGAACATACCAGCAAGTGCGGTAGGTTGTGATCAATGGGCAAGCAGTCTGGGACGCCATTCTGTAGGGCTGCGGGGGGATTCATGACCATCAGGTACTGCTCGTTGTAGTGCGCTGCGGCCTCTTCAGCTAGTTCCTCTGATGAAGTGGACGGTGTCGGTGTGACGGAAGGACTGGGAGACGGCAGGGGTGAGTCTGTATCAGGAGCAGCTGCTTCCAGACCTGCAGCCTCCTCTGTGTCCCCGGAAGCTTCTGTGTGACCCGTTTCATGGCAGTATGGACTCATCTTCCTGAAACGATAGCATAGAATGCTGTACATTAGGAGATCTGAGGTTCCAACGGCGATGAATAATAAGACTATAGCCTTCCGGGATATGACGCTGTGTAATAGGAAGATCTTGGTCGACGGCTACCAAACTACACCGCGTCCTATCCCAGAATACCACAATCTTAATCATCCCAAGGGGTTAGCCGTTCTTTACAATGTGAAAGCGGAAGCATAAAACATCATTTCGAGTGGTTATATTTGACTGTGTTCCTTGCATTGGTCACGCAGTGTCATTGATGATTTTGAAATGATTTTCATGTAATTTTATATTGAAAGCTTTTATAAGAAACCAGCTTAAAATTCGAGTTTTGTATCATTGCCCTAACCCATGGCTTTCTTTTAATTTGTATGTATAATTTTTTTTTGTGTGTGTACAACATACGTGTACTTCGGGGCACGTGATAGTGTAGTTGGTTGAGGCACTATACTAAAGCCGGAAGGTCGCGGGATCGATTCCAGTTGAGGTCATTGGATTTTCCAATTTACCTTATCCTTCCAGTCGCACTATGGCCCTGGGGTCGACTCAGCCTCTAGCAGAAATGAGTACCAGGAATCTTCCTGGGGGTAAAGAGTGGCCGGCGCATAAACCTGACAACCTCACCGCCATTTTTGAGCCGATTGACTATAAAATGTGGGAGCCTCGACGTCTCACAACCCTATAGGCCTCCACGGCCTGTTACAGGGATAGCTTTACCTGTACCTTACTAAGTACTCCTTTAGACATGAATCGTTTATAATAATGTACCAGACTGCGGGCCCGGTATTTCATGCTCCAAAGAGGGAGGCCATATTTTTAAATTTATTTAGGTAAGAATATCTCAACATAATACTTAGAGGAATTAGAAATAAATATCTCGACAATGAAAGATTAATTTTTATGTTAAGCAAGTTAATATGATTTTTTATGTTTTATGAAGAATTATGGCAGTAATACATATTACCACATACAGATAAAGAAAACCTTCTGCAAATAGACTCATTGCCGCATGGGAAACAGTTTGACAATCGCGTAAAATTACTGAGCTCAATGGTGATCACACGACACTAGGCAGATGCTGTTACTGAACAAGCTGGTCTAGTCTCAAGCATCTCAGCCGGCGTACCGATCGTCTTGACTTAAGATTTTCCATGATTTTCCTCAATCCCTTCAGGCACATGCCAAGATAATACCTCTTTTAGACCACGAATGCTTCTTTTCAAATCCCTTCCACTTCATCATTCATCGACTTTCAGCACGTAACGCTACGTGGTGTCCATACTGACAGTTTCATTAACAAACTGCATAAATGAGTAGACTAATTTCGCATGTTAAATCGGTTCAAGGACTTCTCATTAATCGATAGACAGCTTACACACTCCTTGCAGCAGCGCACATTTCGTAGAATTGCTAGCATGTAGCACAACATTCAGCGCGAACAATGCGGCTCATATATATCAATAAATTGTAATATCTACAGACAGGTATAATTGAAACTTATAAGAACATGTAAGTACCTACCTGCTTTATAATGACGCTTGTCTAATTTTATAACAGTATTAAGGTAACATGAAATGGCGTTAGTTAAAAATTTACATTAGATACCAGCAGAAACGGTTGTTTATTACAAAAGATTATTCTGTTGCCCTTGACAACGACATATTTGCGCAGACGCAGTCTGCATTACATAGAATTGTGGGAGAAAGACTTCGGAAAAAGAAAGAGACACGTGAAATTGGTGTGAAGGCATACTGAAAAGAGTGCATGTTGAGAATTAAACGTAGCTATGTTAAAGTTTATCAGGAATCAGTACGTTCTGTCATTTATTTTGAAGTTTCGCTATAAACCACTGGAGCCGGGATGGACGACCGAGGGGTCGGAGTTCGAGTCCCGGTGGGGGCAAGAATTTTGTCTTCTCCAAGTCGTCCCGACTGGCTCTGGGGTCCACCCAACCTCCTATACAATGAGAACCGGAGGTTCTATCCCAGGAGTAAAGCGACCGGAGCGTGAAGCTGACCACTTACCTCCAAATAGTGCTGAGGTCAAGAAAATGTGGGTCTGTACATCCACTCCCCGTATACGCCCTCACACCGTAGTGCTTAATTAGTTAAGCACAGGGACAACTTTACCGTCTTACCTTTATCTGTTACTATAAACCGTTAATGTTCATTACGGATACGTTTTTCCTGTTTATGATCACATTTGCTGCGGATGAAGCGTATCTCCATTTATGTTTCCTTCGGAAAGAATTTTTATGCCGGAAACTCGAATTACTTTCGAAATGTACAGGCCAGTTAGGACTGCAATTTGTCCTATAGTCTTAATTAAACAGTACGCTCTTCTGGATTCTACTGCACGTTCGCAGAAGAGTGACAAAAGTAGGCGGAGAAGTTAAGGTTGGCTTGCCGCCAGATTCTGCTGCTTAATTGCTTGGCTTGTTCTTTGGCACTGAAGATGGAGGCGATATATTCCTCCGAAATGTTGAGCCCTCTCAAGATTACACATCGTTACAACCCAGAAGACCATACTCTTCTGTAGTACCCGTTGTGACAGCTTCACATTCAACATCTTAAATAAATGTTGAAGATTGGGATGTGGCGCCGTGTAGATATTGTGTAAACCGACGTTTCGGAGAATGTATCGCTTTCATCTTCAGGGTACAATGATCTGCGAGCGAGGAACGTATTTATTCTGTGTTTGTGTTGTCCTATGTTTAGGTGTAGGCCTTGCGACGAGCTGATCACCCGTCCAAGGAGTCCTACCGTCTGTAAAAACGATCATGAAACTGAGAAATCAGCCCTGTGCTCCAAAGTGGGAGCAAGAGGAGAGAACGTCATGCTATTAGAAGTAGCTTCGCCGTTTTACATTTCAAATTTCCTGTTAATAGTTGTACAGACGGGACCTCTGAAATCCTGCATTTTGTGACCACAGCGGAAACGGACCAGAGAATTTTCAGACTTTATTTTTAGAACATAAACTGCTGTGAGCCGATCACAGTGATAGGGAGGTCTAAGGCATGAACCGTCTTTGCCCGCTCGCTCGCTGGGATCGTGGGTTCGAATCCCACTCAAGACATGATTGTCTGTCTGCGTTTATTCTGTGTTTGTGTCGTCCTGTATATAGGTAGCGGCCTTGCGATGGGCCGATCCCCATTACAAGGTGTCCTGCCGACTGTATATACGTTTAGATTAAGAAACTGAAAAGACGGCCAAGGTCCGCAAGGACTGTAGAAACATAGAGAGACAGATCTGCTGTGAAGTTAATGAAATGGATAATCATGGCTTCTCTTCCATGGCATCCCCCATTTGGTCTCTTCAGTGGAATAGGAGACAGAGCGAGATATTCCCGAAACACGCACTTGTGTCTTTGTGTAACATGTTCGCTATTTATGTCCGATTCTAACCTAAATTGAGTTTTGTGAACAGATTTTACAAAAACACTGAAACTATCGCGAAAATGCATCCAATGTGAGCCCAGTTGTTTCATGCGGACAGACAGACGTGAAGAAACTAACAGGTGATTTTCGAAATTTTTGCGAACGCGTCTAAAAAAACTATTTATGCTTATAATCTAACGACTACACAAAGTACTAGATTGGAGAAAGCGCGCCAAACTTTCCCTGTAATGTGAAGGTTCGAATGTCTGATCAGTGGCTCACCAAGCCAATAAATTGCTCGTGTCCTAAATAAAACGAGAATATTCAAGCAGCAAAATGTGAGTCACATTCCCTTTAACCGTTTGTTATCTGCTTCTGTAAACTTTCCGCGCGGTATTTATTTATCTGTGGCTTATTTAGAAATTCACAGATTATATAGCTTCGAATTGTATGTTCTTTAATGAAGGATGAGGCCGCGCCATAGCTCAAGCGGTTCGTCGCTGGCTTCCCACCGCGGCGGCCCGGGTTCGATCCCGTGTCTGGTCAAGTGGGATTTGTGGTGGACAAAGTGGCGCTGGGGTAGGTTTTCTCCGAGTACTTCGGTTTCCCCTGCCAATCTTCATTCCACCAATTGCTCCACAATCACCCTCACCTACCATCTGGGGCTGGTACAATAGGCCAGAAGTGGCCGCAGTACAAGGGACTTAGTCCCACCCCACTAGCGATAAAAAAATAATGAAATATAAGGGCAAATTATGTGGGAGAACTCGGCAGTGTCCTATGCCCCGACATTCGCCGGGAAAACTGAGAAATTTAGAGAAATAGTTAAATTTCAAAAGTCGATGTCACGGTTAAGATTAGCACCTGGGACCTCCGGAATAAATGTCATAATTGTTAGCGTCTGAGTAATTTTGTTTGGCGACATCTATCGTTAGATTCGTGACATGTATTTTTTTCGCAACGTGAGGTTATTAGCCTCACGCTCAACCCCCAGATTGGGGGACTGGCCCTATCCTACAACCTGTCCTTGGATGACCCTACCAAGAGCTCACCCTCCCGGCAGCATGGCCCTCCTTGTTGTTAGGGTATGCAGACCTCCCCACTCTACAGTATTCAAAAGGGTAGGGACAAATATTAGTAAAAAAATGTAAATCTATCCCAGTAATAAGCTATGGAGGCCTATAGGGTTGTGAGACGTCGAGGCTACCATAATTTCTAGACAGTCGGCTCACAGATGGCCGTGAGGTTGTCAGCTTTACCCTCCAGCCGCCCTTTACTCCCAGGAAGATTCCTGGTACTTATTTTTGTTAGAGGCTGAATCGAACCCAGGGCCATAATGCGGCTGGAAGGGTTAGATGAATTTAAAAATTCAATGTCCTTACAGGGAATCGACCCCGCGACCTTCCTGCTTTAGCATAGTGCCTCAATCAACAACTCTACCGCGTGCTCCCAAGGACAAGTATTGCTAAATGTTAATATTTTTTGACGTCAATAACTTGTTTAGCTCACAATAATATATTGATGAAACATAAATACGGAAATAATCACTACCTATATATAACTGAATAACAAACTAACTTCAAGGAATTAAGTCCTTGAGAAACCACCA